ACCTTTTTCCACAAAATCTGAGTTAGGACCATTTTCTGACAAAACACAACAAGTTATAATGTAAATTAAAACCATTTTGCTCAATTCGGTACCTTGCCGCAAATATCTCAACTTGAAGTCACGTTAGCGGGGAGCGCTGAAAATGACCGTTGAATAAGTACTTACATCACTTTTTGGTACTACAATGTAACTTTTTGGTACATGTAATTTTGTAAAATGAGCGTATTCCTTACATTTGATCTTCATCACATCTAGTTAGTTAATGGTCGTCTATAGTGCCTTCAAAAGATATTCATGGTTTGGGGGTGGTTTATGTCTAAATTTACGCAACTATTTTTCCTGTTCATCATCTGACGCCATATGCTGCTATTTTAGTAGCAACGACTCAATTTTGAATCGGTCCCGCCGACTGCACAATAAAAGAAGATAGATACAACACTTTTGCGGCATCACTGAAAAACTTATGCAGTACTGTTATCAAAATTCTCATAACACCGTTCGACAAACCTGAAGTCTTTTTGAAATAAATATGCTTGTATTTTTCGCTTCAGGCTCTGACGCCAAAATAATGAATTTCGTAGTCGCAATCGCAAGATTTGGCTGCGTTTCTGGCGCATGCCGTTCATTTGTGGCGCAAAATAATACTTGGAAACAAAGAAGAGTAGGCACTATGTACCCCCGAATTAGAATCTAATTAATTCTAAACCGAATTAACTCTAATTCAAATTAGAATCCTTACAACCAAGCAACGACAAGGCGATAACATAAACAAAAACCCAAGCGTCGCTGTTTGAAACAAAAGCGCCATATACTGCGACTTTTTATAGAGAAGGACAACGCATTTCGGTGGATGTTACAAGTACTGCAAGTACTGCTTCTTTTTTGCAAAAATAAAAACCTTTTTCACATACGAAAATGTGCTAGGAAATTTTCATATTTTATAGAAACTACAGTAGAAATAGTATAGATGTCGAGTAATTTTTATTTAAGAAAAAAGAAAGCTCATTATCTCCCTTTAAACCCTGGGATTTACTTTCAAGGCCTTACGTGTCCTGGAGTACATCGTTACCTCCCCTGAGGCTGTCCAGTACCGATTAAGGTACCCTTACAAAATAAGTATGAGGACTTATTCGGGACACTACAGCTTGCCTTATACGCCCTTTGGGTGACTCACCCCTGACCTTCGGCTTCTTGCCTTTGGCATAGCTCCAACTTACTCTCCAACTGCACTGTACCAGTCTTCCCCTTCCCCTGCCATAGAAACCTCTCACTGCCTCGTTACCCAGTATTACCTAAGCGGGAAATCTAACAGTAGCCGGATACTACTGGCGGAAAACGTGCATATGCCCTGCATACGTGACGGTGTGTCCTTCATATTATTCCGGTCTGGACGTGGGTTTAGAGAAGTGCATCTGTGTCTCATACAGTCATGCTGGTAATTGTTACGCCATAGGAGGCGGGCAAACAAGCCGTCTGTGCCTCAAAATGCCCTGTGCCAATATTGGTGGAGTACTTATTGGCGCTAACTCGCAAGAACGCGAAGAACAAAAACGCATTATTTATCCGAACCAAATCGTAATCTCAAGTCCTAATTGCTGCTGCACGCGTGAACCTAATCATCATTTCTCGTATACAATCCTAACAAACCTTGAACCGTTCTTGATTTAATCAGATGATCTAGAACCAATGAGTTCGCACCGATCTGTCGTCTGGTTGTGATCCACCGTATCATAGTGAATTACTGAATGCTCAAACGGAAATGCCTCCTTGAAACTCGTTCGATAACTTCTGATGGGCTACTAGTTACCTAAACAAATTATCTTTATAGAGTGCCAGAATATTGTCATAGGGTCCCTAGCCTTTCATAGGGAATCTAATTTAAATCATCCTATTAGCAGTAAACAATGCGCATCAAACGAAGTGCAGTCCTAGATATCATATAGCATGTCATATTTAAAATTATGCATTAACTGTTACGTTCTTATCCCGTTGCAACTTTCCACAACTAACCATGCTCCTATACAATGACCTTCACCTACCGCACGCGCCCCAATTACGGTTAGCCCACTGCCCTACTGTGGCCGCTGCTCCACTCCCGACGCTGCTCTCATGCCATCTAGCGGCACACGGTCCCGCGTCGCGACCGACGCGTGTCCGACTGGCCGGCAGTGGATCGTCGTCGCCGGCCCCCGACAGCCAAGGTCGCGCGGCTGGGCGGTGCGGCGCGTCAACACTCGCGGTACAGTGCTCGTGTGTGTTGTCTCTTCTGGTCGGGTAGATTCACCAGACGTGTTAGTGAGTGTGAATCTGGTAAAATATCGCTGCAATATTTTCCTGTTCGACATTTCATCAGCTCCGTTCAACGTAAGTGGTTAAAACTAAATTCCTGTCCCATTTAATCGTTTCCCAACAAAGATGGTCTTTTCTAGTATTTATTCTACAGAAGCACAGCGATCGGTACCTATTTTAGTCGCATATTAGTTCTAACCACAAACAATTCTACATCTACCTATTACTCGACATTTCGCAATTTCACTGACGCAAAGTACAAGGACCAACTCAAGTCGCAAAGTGTCAGACCGTCGACCTCAAACCACTACTCTCAACTCTGCACCTAAGTAACAGAAGAAATTCCGCCGTAAGCTCAAGCATTCGTATCTGTCGAAAATCATAACTCATAGCCATATTCATAGATCGATTGCATGAATCAGTCGCCACCTTAAAACATTTCATCCCTTTCCAAACGTATTTACCTGTTCTATAATTGACTTCGACTTCGCAATTAATTCCTATAGCAATATTACCAATGATTTCGCAATGCAACTTTTAGTGAGTACCTACAGCATGAATCTACACCCTTAATTTCACAAACTTCCCAACCTCAAACCTTAATCGCACCTGACTACCGCCGATAATAAATCAACGAACCAGCTTGGCCAAACACAAAGACATATTCATTATCCAATGCTGACATGCATCATGTCATCAATCTCAACGTTCGTGACAATGAGCTGCTTATTCAAATTTTAGCATCTCGCTCCCGGCCTAATCGTGAACTCCAACTGACAATAACGTACCTATTTACTGGCGGCTCTGACATGACCTCACAATTCAGATCCTAATATGCAACTAGGGTGTCTGGACCAATAAGTTCAAAGTAATTTAAGTTTTCCAATTCCAATTGAGAGTGCATTTTATGGCAACCGAAAATGTTTGGCAGTCGTCACGGCACGGCAGGCTGGGCAGAGGGGGGGGGGTCAAGGATTGGGATTGAGCAGACTTTTCAGCAGCACTCACATTCTGGAGTTCCTCTGCGCTCGAACTGAAGAGACTTCTCGCGGGTGACCCCGGACTGACGGCGGCTCCCAGATGGCGTCTCCGGCTCCGGCTGCAGACTGTGTCTCTCGGCTGCTCGACTGTATCTCTCTTCTGGTTGGGTGGTGCACCCTTTTATAGCTTGGGGGGAGGGGGTGACGGCCACGCCCTTGCGCCGTCATCTTCCTCTGCCTTCCTCTTGTGGGTGGGCCCGTATGATGGCGCCCTCTGTCCTGTTTAGTCACCTTGCTCCTCTGTGTCTGCAATTTTTGGCCGTCGAATCGTCTTCGTGTTGGGTGCCTTATCATTTTAGTAGTCGCTGGCATAAACCAATCCCCGAAAGGTTGGTGATTTTCGAGTTTTAATTTTGATTCTTCAGTTTCATTTTATTCAAACTTTTGTTTCCTTCCGTTTCGTCTGCCGGCAACGCCCCTTGTGACGTCACTCTTGCTCCGCCCACTGACGTCATCTTGGTTTGGAGGGTCTGTAGAACAGCGCCTTCTGTCCGCGGTGGGGACGTCCTGAACTACGTTTGTTTCGGACAACAGCGCTTTCTGTCCGCAGTGGAGACGTCCTGAACTACGTCTGTTTCGGAGGCTGTTTGCTAAGTTTAGCAGATTCCGTTGCAGTGAGACGCACTGTTGTGCTACCATGGCTACGTGAGACCCAATGTGCTACGTGCCTTAAGCCTGCTCGTGGTCTCACAGTGTGCCGACGTTTGCTTGTAGCTTCAGCTGCTTTGTAATGACTACCAATGACTCATCCTGATGTGACTGTCTTCAGAGGTGCTTGTCTTAATTGGAGTTTAATGGCGGCCCATTCTGTGCGGACAGTGAGAAATGATTGGGGAGGGTGGACCTGGGGACGGGTGGGAGGAGGAAGGGAATAATGACAAGGGAGGGAAGCGTGCGGCAGCGCTCTGCTCAGCTGCGCGTCACCGGGCCGACCGTGCCGAAAAGATACTACGTTAGATGGTCAAGATGTAGCGTGCTACAGAACCTCAATATCATGATCCACCTGTCCATCACTAGGTATCCTTCCTTATTACATAGAATCTTTGAATGGCATGGCAATTTATAATTTTAAATGGCAATATTTTATGTTTCTTCTGTAGGTAGGTAGGTACACCAGACTGCTATGGACACTTTTCCAAGTTGGTGGGGCAAAAAACCTAATGTATGTCTTGGTTTGAGTCGTTTGATTGAGTTGATTGATTCCTTTCATTGTCGCGTTTGAGTCGATTGAATCAATTCCCGAAAACTGCTCTGACTTGATTGATTTGATTGGTTTCCCAAATTTGTCGTGATTGAATTGATTGCTATTGATTGAGTCGTATACAACCCTGTTCGTAACACTGCGTGATGCATATCTAATCGCTATAAATATACGCCCATTTCTTAAGGCGTCATCCGTTTGTCAATGCATCATCATCATCTTTACCATCTGTAACGCTCACATGTCCCATTTCTTTCCGCCAGGGACCTAGCGGCACGGCCGCCACCGCCGAGCGACCACCGGCCACCCCCACTGAGACGCCACAATCGTCCATGTCTGCGGTTCCGACCACCTTCCTCACCGAGATCGACGCTGGGGGTGTTGGCAGGGGTAGCCAGTAACAGTTGGTAGCATTAGGCCAAATGGGCGCTCAAAAACTACTACCCCATAGGGTTTCCATGTTAAATCGACCTTTTTCAAGCGAGCCCCATACGTGAGTTAAAAGAAAAAGTGTCAATATTATTGTGGGGAAAGGTAGCCTCAAGCTTCCTCTACAACCTTTCTATCTAGCGTTTTTCGATGCGGAGGCCATAACAGGTCCAAAAAGCATTGGGCGCTGCCCGAGGTACCAAAAGCCCCTCCATGAGAGCACAAGTTCCTGCGCATGCGCACTTTGCCTCAACCCTGTACTAGCGTAAATTAGTGATACTGCTCACGGACTCGATCGGCCAATCAGCATCTCCGATTGCATTCATAGATGTCGCTAGCATCACGTAAATCCTGCTTGCGAACACGTTTTAAGAATGAAACAGCTGCGCCATTTCTGCCTTCCATTGATTCCTTCCATCTTAGTATCAACTATACGCTTTTCGACTAACTTTAGACTAACGGTTTTAAACTATGGTTGGTATGTTATTTCTGGTACATATAATTAAAAAATAACTGCTTTATGAATTTGGCTTTACTCGTCAGAATGGAATACTCTATTTTTTCCATATTCAAAAAAATATATCACCTACCATGTAACTTATCCAGGTAAAATGGGCGCTTTCCGCGTCGTTGGTGTACCCATATACCCTGGGTGCTGGCGCCGCTGCCCATGTTAGCGCGACACAGGCTGCAAGAGCTCGAAGACTGAAACTTCAGCGAGCCAGGACTGCAGCAAACCGGCTAGCTGAGACCGCTGCTCAGCGCCAGGCTCGGCTCGCTGCTGACCTCGAACGGCACTCCCAGGCCAGGGAAGCTGAGACGCCTTCACAGCCCCAGGCTCGGCTCGCTGCTGACGTCGAGCGTCACTCCCAGGCCAGGGAAGCTGAGACTCCGTCGCAGCGCCAGGCTCGGCTTGCTGCTGACGCCGAGCAGCACGCTCAGGCCAGGGAGGTTGAGACCGCCGCTGAGCGGCAGGCTCGGCTCGCTGCTGACGCCGAGCGTCTCTCCCAGGCCAGGGAAGCAGAGACCGCTGAGCTGAGCCCCAGGCTCGGCTCGCTGCTGACGCCGAGCAGCACGCGCAGGCCAGGGAGGCAGAGACCGCTGCTGAGCACCCGGCTCGGCTCGCTGCCGACGCCGAGCAGCACGCGCAGGAGTGGCGCCAGCTAGATGCCGAGCAGCAGGCCGAGCGTGCCGCGTATTTACGCGCCCGGCGCGCGGCACTCCGCCTCGCCCACCCGGAGCAGCTTGGCCGCCACTACAGCCCAGAGACTTTCGCCATGCCGGCTGCGCTCAACATTGGTCGAATGGAGCACGTCTGCGGCTTTTGCGGCGCTCTGCGCTGGGCGAAGGAAGCGCCCGGCTCCTGTTGTAGCAAGGGCAAGGTCGCGCCGCCCTTCCACCCGTCGCCTCCGCCCGAACTCGCCGAGCTTTTCACCGCCAACTCGCCGCTGCACCACAAGTTCATGACGAACATCCGACGCTATATCTGCGCGTTCCAGCTCGCCAGCATGGGCTGCAAGAAGGTGCGTCAGCCGGGATGGAATCCCAACTTCACCATCCAGGGCAACGTCTGCCACTTCATCGGCAGCCTCCTCCCGGCTGACGGCGCACAGGCAAAATTTATGCAAATTTATTTCCTGGACGACCAGCTGGCGGCGCGGACCGGCCTTTTTGAAGGCCTGAATGAGGACGTCTTGCGACTGCTGGAACAGGTGCTGCAACGCTGCAACGTCTACATCCAGTCGCTGCTGCCCGCCAAGCAGATGCTAGACGCCCTGCCCGACCAGCGCCGTCGTGATGACTGAGCAGCGCCGTCCGCTGTCGGAGCATGAGCGCCGTTTCAACCTGCCCGCCTGCAGGGAGGTGGCGGTGCTCATGCCCAATGAGCCAGTCGGCCGTCGCGACATCATCCTGCAGCACCGTGACGGAGCGGTGCGGCGGATCGACGAGTTCCACCGCTCATACAATCCGCTGCACCATGTGCTGCTGCACCCGCTCGGCACAGACGGCTGGTCGCTGGCGATGAAACAAGAGCTGGCCGTCACTGCCCGTCAATACTACGCGTTTCACCTGCGCTACAGACCCGGCCACTTTAACATCCTGCCACGCGGCCGTCGGCTGTTCCAGCAGCTGCTGGTGGACGCGGAGGTGAAGGTGGAAGCCGACCGCCTAAACTACATCCGCATTCCGCACCCACCAGGACGGTCTCAACGGCTTCCGCGCGGAGTCCATCCGTGGCATCCGGGACGCCCTGGAGGCGGGCGAGCAGGCCGGCAGAGCCGTGGGCCGGGTCGTGCTGCCAGCCAGTTTCACTGGAGGGCCACGCTACATGATGGCCAGACTCCAAGACTGCCTCACCTATGTGCGTGAGTTCGGCGGTGCCGACTTCTTTGTCACGGTGACCTGTGACCCGCACTGGCCAGAAATTGTCAACACCATCCAACAGCAGTTCCCCGGTGACCAGGCCAGCGATCACCCGGACATCATGTCGCAGGTGTTTCACCTGAAGATGCGAGGCCTGCTGCACCTGCTGCGCGGCGGCGTCCTCGGCCATCATGCACACCATCGAGTGGCAGAAACGAGGTGAGTTCAGAAATACTGCTTATTGTCTCGCGCACACTCGTCAATTGTGATACTGCACCGCATAGCACTCGGACACGGCGGTGCAGCATTGTCATGATACTGCTATTATTGGCCACTTGAAATATTTCGCCAATGTGCTGTGTAGATTCGTTCGAACAAGGTCAAACATTTAATTGTTTATTCTATCCATTTCATATAAAATTATGTTTTTGATGTCATGAAATACATAACATTAGCCTTTATATTACTAACTGACTTATCGAACAACTCATCACGTACAACGTTTGTTGTATACTTAGGTATCATTATCACAGTCAGAAATATACATATGTCTCACGGTCTGGGCCTCGTTTCATAAAAGGAATTACTTACGGCATTCCGTCAATTATGCCAGGTTTGGCGTATTTGATGCCAATTCGGTTTCATAAAGCCGGAGACCGGAGTAATTCACGCCATCGAAATTACGGAGCTTCATTTACGGCAAATGCTCGATTCCGGACCAATTGATGCCATTTGGGTTTCATAAAACGGCGTATTTAACGCCAAATATTTTATCAAGTTCTTGATATAAGTGGTGTAAACTACGCACAAAAATGTTGCGTGAATTTGAATTAATGTGAAGATTCAAAGCTAATTGTCTGGACAAGGCTGCAGTGTGTGTTTTTTAGCATGTGTGTTTGTGTGTGTTTTTATGATGTGAAGGTTTTTTTATGGACCAGTATGGTCTGGAATAAAGTTTTGTCTGTCTGTCTGTGACTCTGTCTGTCTAATTCTTAATATATTTTATAATGTTGAGCTCGGTGAGGAAGAAAGAACAGCCAAAGTGCGAAAAAGAAACTGCAAATATTCTGTACCAGTCGCTTTTTGTGGCCACTATCGGAATTTTGCTTATTCGCCGCGCCGCGCCACTTTCGTAGTTAGGCACTTCTGCTTAGCTGGCTTTCTGCTGTTTTCAACATATTGATCTAATAAAGGATGGTCATCGATATCAATTTTGTTTTTTCATAAATAATTTTTCAGATTTAAATTCAACATAATTGTTTTATAATTTCTCGTAACAAATAAGTGTTGACATGAAATTGTAATTTGTAGGACGCTTGATAAATTACGGCAGCTACACAAATGTGCTTAGTTACGGAGGTGTAAACAATTCCAGTTGTGGCTTTGTGAAACGGCTTCATTTGCGCTCCGTAGTTTGAAAGGGTGTGGATTACAGAAAGGTGTAAGTTACGGCAGAGCTTTATGAAACGAGGCCCTGGAATATCAGTTTTTACCCATGACACAATCTGCTACTATCCATTCAATTCATTTACCATTTTTATCTTTTTCAGGCCTGCCACACGCCCACATCGTCGTCTGGATGGTGCCGGACGACAAGCCGCGTCCCGACCAAATCGACGACTGTGTGGTGGCGGAGCTGCCGGACCCTGCCGAGGATCCTGAGCTCCACGACTTGGTCAGGTCCAAAATGGTGCACGGCCCGTGCGGCGGCCTCAACCCGAGGTCGGCGTGCATGTCCGACGGCGCCTGCACCAAAAAGTTCCCTCGGAACTTCCAGCGGGAGACGGTGGTGCCGGAGCGCGGCGGCGGCTACCCGCTGTACCGCCGCCGCGCCCCGGAGGACGGCGGTTTCACGACCGAGCCGCGCGGCCGTCCTGCCGACCGAGACCGCCCGCGGCTGGACATCCGCTGGGTTGCCCCGTACAGTGGATCTTATTAGGATCTCCAGACGTAACTATGTAGATGGCGTTGAGCCTTAGTCGAGTCCATGTCAAATTCAAGGAGAGGTCACTACCGAGCTGGGCCCGATGGGGAGGTGGGCGGGGAGGGGGGGGGGGTGGCGAGGTCACGGTGCGGGTGACCTGTCAAACAGCCCCGGCGCGGTGCGGCACTGCCGTAGGCAAATGGCGCACTCCAGTGTTGTTCCATATCGCGGTGGTGGGCCGGGCGGCCGGTTAGCTTGGCAGCTTGGAAGGAAAGGAGAATGAGGCATGGTTTTGCTGTGGCCGGTTCACCTACTGTTACTTATGATGCACCCAGAGTAATGCAAATGTGGCGTTGATAATGCAGCTGGCAATGGAATGCTAGCGAATGCTCCGAGCGCCTAGCTATAAGGATTAAGATTATTTATGTCTCCTGAAATTTTCATTGAATATAATTCAAGCACTAGAGGGATCGTATTCGTTCGCCAGTTTTTTGACCGGCTAGCGTTTCTTGCGTAGAGCGCCCTTGGGCAAATAGTTAGGTATAACGCAGGTGATTTTTTTTTTTTTGCTGGTAAGACGCCTTATAGGGTCAAATCAAGCAGTGGCGGCGGAACACCTTTAATGAAGTGGGGGCACTGCCGACTTTTGGTCCCATTCTTTCCATGCAACGCCCATAGGGCTAATGTTAAAATGCCAAAATTAAACGGGGGCACGGTGCCCCGATGCCCCCCTCCCCACCCCCACCCCCGTTCCGCCACCACATGAAATCAAGTCGCTAAGAGACGATGAGGAAAAGTGGACGACCGCCACATTTCTGTGCATGAAGTTTCGAGTTATAAAAAGCTAAAAGTTATTTTACCGTTGACCGGACGCGTCAGAAGGGGAGTCGAGAACAAAGGAACCAGCCCGGAGCCACCCGGGAAGCGCCCGACTGTGAGACAATGAACGCGGCGATCCTCAGAAAAGGGGTAGCATAACTGACGGTGCCGTTCTGAGCGATTGAGCAGGGACACGCAATACGCAAATGCAGCCGCTGACGGGTATGCAGGATGAGCATGTCTATGCGCACACCGGCGGCAAAGTGCTACAGACGTGCGTGCCGACCAGCGACATATAAAAAGGGGGCTAAGAAGGAGCACCTGGCGGAGAATTAAACTCCTCACCAATCGCTCACCTGATGTCCTGCTTCGCGTTGTGATGCAGCACTTCAACGCTAGGGACGACCCCGTCCCACGACCAGGACGACGTCACGGATTTGTTCAGCGAAAACTCACGAGCTGTTACGCGTGTGCCTGCTCAAGGCGTACAGAGTGAAAGTAGTGAAAGTACAGAGGCGGGCCGCGGCGCCCTACTTTCCGCGGCCAATCAGCGCGCGCTATGGAGTGGCGCTTCGTTTGCGCGCTCGCCGCAGAGAAATGACATTGGCTCTCTGTTCTTCGACGCCAATGTCGCATTTACGTGTAAGCTAAAAAACAATAAGATCAGTTAATAAAAATATTTGACCCGAAATTAACTTCTGTTTTGTCTGACCATGATTGCATGTATGACCCCGGTCCAGCCTGGTTCAACTCGGCCCAACCTGGTTCTCAGGTCTCCCTGGCACGCATCTTTACCACCACTCCGCGCGCAGGAGAACTGTTTTTCCTGCGTTTGCTGCTAATGCGCGTGCCAGGACCGACCAGCTTCCTGGACCTGAGGACGGTGGACGGCGAGGTGCTGCCCACCATGCAGCAGGCGTGCTCAGCCAGAGGCTTGCTGGAGGACGGCGAGCATTGGGACCGAGCGCTGGCCGAGGCCACCACCAGCGGCTATCCCAACCGGCTCCGGCTCCTGTTCGCCATCATCTTGACCGAGGGTGGCGCCACGTGTGATCCGGTGCGGCTCTGGGCGGCTCACCAGCCGGCCATGTCCGAGGACATAACGCACCGCCAGGAGCTGCTGCGCGCCGCCGGCAGACCCTGCATGTCGGCGGAGGAGATCCAGCACGAGACGCTCCGGCGAGTCGGACTGTGCCTGCAGCGTCTCTGCGGCCGGACGGTCGGCAGCTTCGGTCTGCCGGAGCCCCCTGCCGCCCCTGTCGGAGCTGAAGCCGAGCCCGACTTCGCTCTCGACCAGCAGCAGGCGTATCTGGCAGAAAACGAGCACCTACTGACGGCGGACCAGCGCGTCGTCTACGACGAAGTCGTCAGGCGGCTGACAGACGGAACCGGTGGCGCCAGTTTTCTTCAGGCTCCCGGAGGCTGCGGTAAAACGTTTTTGGAAAACGTTTTGCTCGCCAAGGTGCGCAGCCAGGGAGAGGTGGCCGTCGCAGTCGCCACGTCCGGCATTGCCGCCTGCCTGCTGGACGGTGGCACAACAGCGCACTACCGCTTTAAAATACCGCTGCGCCTGCACGCAGATGAGAACGTGTGCGGCATGGCACAGAGGACGCCGGAGGCGGAGCTGCTCCAAGCCTGTCGCCTCATCGTATGGGATGAGGCGGCCATGGCCAACCGGCGCGCCTTAGAGGCAGTGGATCGCACCCTGCGCAATCTGCGAGACACCGACGAGGAGTTCGGCGGCATCGTGACGGTGCTGTCCGGCGACTGGCGGCAAATTCTGCCGGTTGTAAGGAATGGCTGCCGGGCCCAAGTGGTGGACGCCTGCCTGAAGTCGTCCCCGCTCTGGAACACCGTGACGGTGATGCAGCTGGAGACTAACATGCGCGTCCAGCTGCACCAGGACGCCAGAGCAGCCGAATTCTCGGACTTCCTGCTGAGAGTCGGCAACGGCGAGCTGCCCATCGTCCGGGAGCTCGGAGAGGACGTCATTGACGTGCCTCTGGAAATCCGAAGCCCGGCCACCAGCGTCGCGGAGCTGGCCGTTCGGATTTTTCCGGACCTGGCGGCCAACTATGTGGACACCGAGTGGCTCCACCAGCGGGCCATTCTGACTCCAAGGAACTCAGATGTCGACAAGGTCAACCAGGTGCTGATGGAGATGCTGCCTGGCGCGACAGCGGAATACCGAAGCATCGACAGCATGACGGACCCGGAGGCTGTGCCGATGCCAACGGAAGTCCTCAACAGCCTCGAGCTTTCAGGACTGCCGTCTCATCACCTGACTCTTAAGGTGAGCAATGAAGCCCATACAGATAAGCTTACAAACATTGTTAATGCAAGAATGTCAGCAATCGACTTGCATTTTTGTGTGGATCGTTCTTAAATGTGAATGTGAACATACAATTAAATTTTTATTTTCAACCTACGCGCGAATGATTTAAACATTTGACACCCACTACTATATAAAAACAATGTTTATTGAAAAGGCTGTTCTATTACTAACATTATTGCAATCCCATCAACTCTCTGTCTCATTAATTGTGTTTGCGTTCATTGTGTTTGCGTTGTTTGCGTACATTACCCTCATGAAAGCTCAATTCATTCCGTGGTGAACCATGGCTAAAAAAGACTTGGCTGCCGAACAACTATATAATACCGATATGATTACATCTGACTGATTTCTGTTTCAGGTCGGTGCGCCTGTGATCCTGATGAGAAACATCGACGCCCCGAGGACTGTCAACGGCACGCTCTGCACCGTCTCCAGGCTCCACGCCAACGTGCTGGAGCTGCGCGTGGGTTCCGGACCGAGCCGCGGCGAGGCCCTGTTTCTGCCGCGTCTGCCCCTGGAGGTGGACGGCGCTGACTCGGGACTGGGGTTCAGCTTCCGCAACTGCTGCGCTCCGAGCGGCTGCCGCTGCGGCCGGCTGCCCTCGCCGAGCTGGCCCGCGCGCTGGCAGTGGTGCTGAGCCGGCGCCGGCGCCCGTTCCTGGAGCGGTTGGTGGCGCCGTTCGACGCCTCGGTGAGCTACTGTAACCGGACGGTGCCGGCGGCGCCGTCGGCGGAGGAGACGGCCGCGCTGCGCGCCCAGTGCCGCCGGCACGGCGTGTCCGTGAACTCGGCGCTGACGGCGGAGGAGACGGCCGCGCTGCGCGCCCAGTGCCGCCTGCACGGCGTGTCCGTGAACTCGGCGAGCTGTCGGCGGCCGTCCGTGTGTCCGCCGCCCGGCTGCTGGGCGGCCCGTGCCCGCCGCTGCCCACCATGTGGCCGGTGAGCGCCCACAGGTACCTGCTCTTCAACCCTGGTCAGACATACACGTCATACAGCAAAGCTGACCCAGCCAGCAGAGCAACAGCGACGGGTCTGCTGACAGCTGGTTGAAAGCATCCTGGCTTCTGGAACGATGAGACCAGAGTCTGACCTGTGACAGAGTGACAGACTGACTGACGAGTGACCTGTGACAGACTGAGTCATCCCCGGTTATCGGTCAGGGGTGCTGTACGGTGCAAATCACGTCATATCGATCACTATATATTTTGATAGTGTATTCTCTCTCGCTGCTTGCCTCAGATTTCAAATTGTTCATTGTGAACCGTGGGGAGGGGGGAGGGGCGGAGCTTCATATTCACTTGGTGGGGCGGCTGCCCCACCAACTTGCCATTTTTCCCCACCAATAAGCGTTTTGCCCCACCAACTAAAGCTGGTTTGCAGGACTTTACTGCTAAGCAAACCAGTGTTTTTCGCATTGAGGAGTTTTGAAATGTCTGTGTAATGCAAAATATTATCTCTGAATGAAAAGAATTAATTCAATGTTGTATTTTACCTAGCTTAACAATCGGACATTGTACGTTTGTTAACTTTTTGCCCCACCAACTTTCCTGGGAAAGCTCCACCCATGGCCGGTGGGGGGGGGGGGATACCTACCGCCGCGGCGATTCGCCACTGTGCACAGGATTGACAGGGCTGGCGTGTCCTGCATTGTTGAGTGTTCTCCTGGTGCTCTCTTTGCATTGGATAGGTATATATTGGGCCAGATGTGATCGTTTGGTGGGATATGCGGTCTACAGGGACGATTGCTGAGCGGTTCGTGGCCGAGCGGTGGTTTGTCGGCCACTTGGACACTGAGCAGCCGACTGGGAGCTGCGAGACGTGGAAGGAATGCTTATTGCTTATTTCAGGCATACCTACGCAATAGTTTTAAGGTGAATTTATTTATTATCTACCAAAAATGTTAGTGTAAGCATTTTATATAAACGCCATGAAAAATGATGGGCTGCAACGCTGGCTGGTTATAAGCGGCGCCAAATTCGAACGGTTGTATTTGTCTAAAGGTACTTATTCAGGTCCTTATTTTCCCTCTCCGAGGGCATGCAGCCATTGATAGCCATGTATCCATTCGATCCGCCCAAGGGACGATTACAGGCGCGGTCGCCGACTGTCAGTGCCGGTAGAACGCAGTCGTTGAAGGAGAGTCGATGCCCCACGCCCCACGGCAGGAGACTGTGTCGGTAAGTGGGTTGGGAAGAGAGTGTAGTAGGAAACAAGAAGGCTTACGGCATAGGCGGCGGAACGGGGAGGGCACCGGGGCACCGTGCCCCCTTTTGATTTTGACATCTTAACCCGCGCACCGACAGGGGTCTGCGCCAACTTAGTACCGACGGGGGGGCGGATGACCGCCCCCCTTAGATCTCGAGAACGAAGCAAGATAGCGACAAGCGGTAAACGGCATGGGATACGCACGGACAAGCTCTACAATTTTTACAAAGGTCATTTTCAGGTCAGGTCAAAGATGACGTCACAGGGGTCAAAAAAGTCAAAATGGCGGTGCTAGATATGGAGAGTTTTTCTCGAATAACTTTCGAACTAGTCAAGATAGTGTTGTGAAGTATATCAAATTAAGAGTTCTGTCATGCAGCTGTCACGCGCACGTATATATTTGTAATTGTGTGCTAGAAGACAAGAATACCGGGGGATGTGTTTTGGAAGTTAAACACTGTTAACAATGCATTGATTATGCAACATATTATTGTTTATTTCTTATGAATAAACTCTCACTGTCATCTTAAAGCGCGTTAATGATCAGTGTAGAAAGCTTTCTAACATAAATAAACAATAATATTACTTAAAAACGGAGAGGATATCATGGAAAATTCTGCAAATCCAATGCAACTGGTGATCCCTCCGCTGCGAAGCGGGGATCGCATTGAAGAGTGGGAGACGGCTTTTAGGGCAGCAACTTCTTCTTATCTGCTAGCCGAGAAGGGAGAAAAGTTTGTCGTAGGTCTCCTCCCAGCATTTGTGAATAGAAGGCCAGCCGAGGTTGCTCTAGTTAGAGAACTTGTGGCTACTGAAACGAGTTTGGACGGTGCCTTCGAAAGTCTAAGGACCTTGGACCCTCCAGTTGATAAGTTTTCGGCTATGCAAGTGTTATGCCGCACCAACTGGATGAAAGGCGAGCAAGTGGACGATTTTTTCTATGGCCTTAAAAGAGAAGCCAGACGTGCTGAAGCAGACCTCGACTTCGTGTGCTCCATCCTGTGCTCTCAACTACCCAAAGAGGTCCAAGGCAAAACCAAATGCTGGTTGGCGGAAAACACCGTGACCGATGAATCCGCAAGAAGTTTGCTGGTCAATGTGAAGGCATGGATGGTTGAGCGCGGCATACCACTGGATATCGGGTTTCACGGAACGGGATGCAGCCCTCCATCCGAAGTGCCACAGAGAGTGCTCACCTGTAATGGCGGAAATGAGCTCAGCCAGCACCCGACCTCGCGTCCACAGAGTGCAACGTCAGCAGGAGCAGACTCACCGCTGGCTGATGAGTCTGTCGCTCGAGTAGACATCAAAGAGTCAAGAAAGAAGTACCAGCAGTCACGATCGGCAACAGGGACATTCAAGGGCAAGTGTTACATCTGTGGAGGCAACCATCTGATGAAATCGTGCTCAGCAAAAAGATGTCCACGCTGCGGAGAAAAGGGGCATGATCTGTTCCACTGCACTGCCTCAAAAGTAAGTCAGAGCGCGGAAACGGATTTTGTGAATCGAGCGGATGATTCGTGCCAGACTAGTACAAGCTGCGCCGTGCTTCTGCCTGTTAAACTAGACGGTCACGATGCTTCTGCTCTGATAGATTCTGGCGCGGGGCCCTCCGTGATTGACAAGGGGTCTCTTCTTAAGCTGAACCTTCTCAGAAAGATTAGACGAACCAAAGACAGGCATGTACTAGGGGTAGGAAACGTACAAGTGCCCATATATGGTCATGCGAACTTGTCTGTGACATTAGCTGACGGTCGGGTCGAAGCGTCAGAGTTCACGGTGATTGACTCGTATGATGAGACCATCCTACTGGGGCGTACCTTTCTGTGCAAGTTTCCGTCTCTAGAGTTCGACTGGGCCGGTCATCGCATCCGTCTGGGAGAAACATGGTACGATACTAGCATCATGTTAAGCGGGGGAGAGGTGAATGGTAGGGTTGATGTGGCACGTTTGGAGCAGCACGACCACATTGACGCTAGCCAGGCGTTTGACATAAATCCGCGTCTATCGGATGACGAGAAACAGAGAATGCACAAGCTACTCTCAACATATGGCTCTGTCTGGGCGACCAACCCTAAAAAACCGGCCTTATGCAACATGGGCAAACATAAAATTGAAACAGGAGACGCCAGGCCGGTAAAACAAAAGATGCGGCGGATGTCCCCTAGCGATACTCAAGAGATCAACAGGCAGGTCGAGGAGATGCTGGCCAACGGCGTTTGCCGTCCGTCAGACTCGCCGTGGAGCAGTAGCGTCATTTTAGTGCGGAAACGAGACGGCACACAGCGGTTTGTAGTCGATTACAGACAGTTAAATAGTGTCACGAAAAAAGACGCGTACCCTCTCCCGAATGCAAAGGACCTCTTTGACAAGATGCATAACAGTAAGGTATTTTCTTTCATGGACTGCGCTAGTGCCTACTGGAGCATTGAAATGGACGAAAACGATCGCTACAAGACAGCGTTTTCCGTTCCGAGGGGCCAGTATGAGATGAACGTCATGGCTTTTGGACTATGTAATAGCCAGAGCACATACCAGAGAACGATCGACAGCATTTTGAAGGGCGTAGAAGCTACAGTAGCGTACATTGATGACGTCTGCTGTTACTCTTCTGACTTCGAACAGCATCTTGTGGACTTGGAACAAACCCTGAAGCGCCTGCAGTCCGCCAACTTGCAGCTCCGAACAGATAAGTGTCGCTTCGGTTACGGAAGCGGCGCATTCCTGGGACACACCGTCTCGGCTGAAGGGTGTTCCCCTCTTCCCGAGAACGTTGAAGCTATTCAAGACTGTGCTAGACCGGCCAGCAAGAAAGAGCTTCAGAGGTTCTTGGGTATGTTGAACTACTACAGGTCATTCATACCCCGCATGGCTGAGATCGCCTCGCCGCTGTATGCGCTCACCGGCGCGAACGCACGCTGGTCATGGTCAGAAGAATGTGAGAAGAGTTTCTGCACTCTAAGGGACATCCTGACCTCCGAAATGGTGCTGGCCTTCCCGCAGTGGGACAAGTCGTTTTTTATAGAGGTTGACGGGTCCGGGTCCGGTGTGGGAGCCATTCTCTCACAGGAAGACAGCTCGGGGAGACTTCGCCCGATCGCTTATTATTCATCTGGCCTCACCGCTACCCAGCGGAATTACTCGGCATCTGAGATCGAATGTTGGGCCCTGATATCCGCTACTAGGAAGTGGGAGGTACATGTGAGCGCAGCACCGGAGGTGATTCTCATAAGCGATCACAATCCGCTCACCTGGTTAAGACAACAGCGAGACCCACGCCGGAAGTTCGCGACATGGATAGCCGAACTGGAATGTCTCAACTACACTGTGGTGTATCGCAAGGGCAAGGATCACGCTGCGCCTGACTTCCTCAGCAGGATCGACTCGGAGGTGGACAGGGTAGTGAACGATGATGTCGAACATTTTGAAAGACATGTTTATCCTGTTAGAGGTGCTAACACGCTCGACAGCATCAAAGCAGGACAGCAAGAGGACTCTAGCATAGCCTATGCCGCTCATCAGTTACGTACCGAAGGCAAAGTAACTAAGGGTCGATATAAATCTTATGGTGGCATGAGGCTGGAGAACGGCGTCCTAAAACGTAAGGGACAAATCGTGGTGCCAAACAGCATGCGTGGGACAGTTTTTGAAATGGAACACTCTGTGCACCATGCCGGTGTGCACAAAACATATTTGCTTATCCGGGAACACTATTTCTGGATCGGAATGTTTAAATACATACAAACCATGTGCATGGCATGCGATACCTGTCAGAAGAGCAAACGAACGTATGCACCCAAACAGACGATGCAAGAGTACGAAACAGGCGATGTGTCACCTCGGTCAAGCATAGCCCTCGACATAGCCACCATGCCCAGGGCGCCAGACGGCAGCCGTTACCTTCTGGTCATTGTAGACATGTTCTCCCGCTACGTTGAGCTTGTTCCGCTCAAGGACCAGTCGGCAGAAAGCATATGTAACGCAGTAAGGTCCGAATGGATTCACAGACATGGGCCACCACTCCGCATCATTACTGATCAAGGGAAAAATGTAGATGGTCAGATGATGAGCCAGTTGTGCGAATCCTTTGGCATTGAGAAACGGAGATCGTCACCGTACCACCCAGAGGGGGACGGTCTCGCGGAACGCACTATCCAGACTGTGAAACAGCTTTTGAGGTGCAAGCTGCAAAGTCAACAAATGGTAACAGATCAGTGGCCTGCTTTGCTTAGTGAAGTGCGAAGTATTTATAACTCGCTGCCTAGCAACTCAACAAAATATGAACCCAACGAACTCATGTTCGGCGTGAGCGTTCGGACACCGGTGGGGGGCGGCCGGGCCAGGGACGGCATAGTCGCCGAGCAGAGCTTCAGCCCTGAAACCCACTCTGAGGAAACACAGTTCAGGCTGACGGAACTGCACAGTCAGGCAAAGAAAAACTCTTCAGCGGCACATGCCTCTTCTAAGTTTTACTACGACCAGGGGAAGAAGGATAGCGATGTTAGGGCGGGTGATTATGTGTATCTGCGCAAAGAGGCTAGAAACTCCTCTTTGGACCCTGTGTATGATGGGCCATTCCTGGTTAGCAGCAGACGTGGTGCAAATGTGCTCTTAAATATGGAAAGTGGGGAGCAAGTGGTGCACTTGAACCGCTGTAAAAAGTGTGTAAACCGGGAACAGATTCCTGACGCGCCGCCTGTACCGACAGCCCCATCCGTAGCCGGCTCCTCTTCCGGCTCGAACGTTGGA